AGTAAAAAAATGTGCACGATTATTTGATGCATTGAAATGATATAGATGCAGTTTTTGCTACGGTTGAGTAAACATAAGGTGTCAACATCTTTAGAGTTTCATATACCCGATATTGTCATCATTATGGTATTTCAGTATATGTTTGGTTTTCAAATTTATTATTTTGTAAAGAGTTTGGTGGTTTAAAAACAAAAGGGGTAAACGATACTTGAAAATTAAGTATACGAGGGATGATCAAAAATTACCCGGACTTTGTAAATGATTATTTACCCGTTAAATGAATTTAGATAAAAATACACGGACAATAAATCGGAATCTATCCCCTGAATGATACAAAAAATACCAACAAGAAATATTAACAAAGAAAAAAATTATGACGTTATTGGCAGGTACATGTAAAGCAATGCGGCGCACGATTTAACTTTGAAATTGACGTTAACGACGTCACAGGCGTATTTCCCTTAACGGATCAGCTTTTTACTCATTACGGAGTTGGCCAATACATGGTACAGTCATGTTGTGATGCAGCGGATCCACTGCCTACATATATATTTCTATACAAGTGGGTATCATATTGTATTGTAAAAGAATAGATGATGATAAAGAGCTCCTGTAATGACGCAAACTTCCGTTCTTTCCTTGTTGGAAAAATCACACATGCAATTAACTATATTATGTATTACAAATAATGTAAAATAATGTTGCTGAATGATAATATATCATACATAAGATAAAATAAAAGAATAATACAATAATGAATAAAATTGTCATTATTTTAAAATAAATAAAACGCATAGCCAATTTTAAACAGTGACTGTCTAATTGTTGACACGATATCTCCATAAAACTACCGCGTAAAATAAGAAAATAATTGATACAATTGTAAACCAAGAATGCAATATATGTAATTAATGCATTAACTATTATCACTTTAAAATCCTTAGAGTTGTTTGTATAGTCCCGTAGCTACTGTCGAACATCGTTGACAATGTCCGCAGTCAAGCGATTGTCATTTTTCAACGTCTTGGCGATTGACGTCACCAACGTCCTTGAAAATTTATTTTTTCTGTCTCTCCATTACTTGTTTTCTATTTCTTTATTACCCTTTCTCAATTCTTTCTGCTAATAAAAAAATATGCTGTGGCTTTCTGGAACTTTTCCCTTGATAGCCATAATCTTTTTCTACGTTTTAAACAGTTTCTTGTCTAACTTTTGACAATTTTTTTTATTGATCGATTTTCGAGACATTCCGACGACATAGTTTTAACGGGAGTATTTCATTAAACATGTGACGTTTGAATTGTGATTGCAAATATAAATATCGTTTAAGTTAAGTCATTTTTACTTACAACGTCATAGATATGGTTCATGACGATTTTTGCGTAATTTGAAATCTAAATGTGCCATTTTGTAGAATATACGCAGCTTAAAGCGCCTGATGTCAAGGCGAATTTACGCACTGCGCCGGGTGTACGTTACCATGGTTTTTGAATTCGCTGTTACGGACAAGCTTTTTGCGTTATTAGATTAGAAAAAGCATCAGTTTACAGGTATTGTTTTCCGATTAAGTGTGATATATAACAATATGTGATAGGCAATCACAGTCCGGTTTATTTTTGATCATCCCTCGTATATGTGCTGTATTTTATTTTTTAAAGTGAATTGGTCTTATTATATAAATTGGAAGGTCTGTATCAAATAGAATTTCTAGAACAAAATATTTATTATCTATTATATTAATGTCCAAACTAAAGTGTTTAAAACTTTATCAACATTATCTCTCTTTCAAGTAATATTTTATAAGAATATCCAAATGATATATTTCTATTGTTTAAATCGATGTTTGAAGTAAGTATTCATGAAAAATTTGCCCATTGTAGACCAATCCACTTTAATCCTTGACAATTATTATGTATATATACCCCACAGAATGATGTGTCCTGTCTATATATTTATATATGTTACAAAAATGATGAATCAATCAAATATTTTGTCTAAAAAGTTTTCAAAACCTCAGTGTTATAAGCGTTATTAATTTAACAGTATGTGAAAAACATTACAAGCTCAGGCAATGAAGGAATACTTGTGTTTCAAAAATGTACCATCACTTGGTTACGAATTTAATAATAAAAAGGAGTCATTTTTTAGTCATACATTATGCATATATGGGCATGGAAAATTTAAGATTGTTTACAAAAGTCGCCCAAAATTCCCTGACAATAGTTTGCATGACAGTTACTCATTTTGTGGTCTGAGTGTACCGTTTCATTAACCATGGATTTTCACACTTGTGAAAAAAAATGTCCAAAAAGTTGAGGGAAAGGCTATAGATATATATAAATGTATGACAAACTGTTCATTTACCTGCGATTATGTGGCATTTATGCAGATTTAAGCACTTGATGATACTTAACTTATCTACATTTTATCAGTTTTTCAAATACGAAAAATCAAAATTCAATTCAACATGACCTCATTATTGTAATAGGGAACAGATTTGAATTTATCGTCACTTGTCCCGAAAGCTTGAAAGTTACCATTGAGTGTGTACACAATGAATCATTCTCGTTGGTTTAAAAAGCTTCGCTTTGTAACGTGTGTTGCTATAGTCACCAAAGCATGTCTTTATTCCATGTTTAACCAACTAGACAATTTTAAGTCAAAGTTTATCGACTCTCGCCTCTTTAATACCTGTTGGTTGAAACCGTACAATTATTTACAAATAAATTACTATTATATTTGTAAAGAAGCGCCAGTCACCGAATGTTTAAAATTGTTTAAATTTGATGAAGTAAAGTGGACGTTTTGAATTCTGTCTCGTTTCGTTCAAACTGTCTACGATGGAGACAAATCACAAGATTTATGCTTAGCTTTTAACTTTAAATGTACGCCAGGGCTTAAAAACATCATTTGCCGTGGACAAATGAAATATTTGTCTTCAACAAAGCCACTGTCTTTATTTACAAATTTATGTTAATTCTTGAAACAAAGTCTGACGTAATACTTTTTTACCATCTTCAATATTTTATTGATTCAGAGATGACCTGGTTAAAATGAAAGAAGTCAAAGCATCAGCTTAATATGGACAATATTTTAATAAAGGTCTACCAATTTCGGACCCATCAGTGGTTCTTCATCAGGATTCAGATGAAGTTTGTATCTGTACATGAAAGACAAAATTTAAAATACGTCTTTTCTTCCTTTATCTCTGTCAATTTGGGACATTTGTTACGGAATGATACTTTTTCTTTCTTTCTCTGATGAACTTGATGAGCTGAAAAGATCTGACTGTTAAGATGAGCAGCTAGATAAAGTAACTGAAAAGTTTTGTTGTTTCAGTTTTTTTCTGTGTTTTTTTCTGTTTTTGACACATCTCATTTGAAAGAAAAACGTTTGAATTTCAGTACCTTTAATTGACAGCTTTTATGTTATGTATCAAAGCTTGAAATAAGTTTTTGTTGGCTTTTATTGAAGTTAAAAAAAAACAATCCTTTTTTTGTAGCTTTTTGTTTTATGTTTTTAGAAAATCTCTTTCAACAACTTTCTGCATTGCAAATTGCCATTGGAATTGTGCTACAGAGGCAGAATTTTTTTGCGTACAGTCTTGTCTGTCAAAGGAAGAGGATGATATTATTCTTTTTAGTGGCAGTTCTCATTTGCTGTCAGCAGTTTAAGGGCTAATACTTTGAGCTAGCAGTGTTTCGACAAGCTTGCACATTTATGCTGTTGGACTGCCAGCAGCTCAACTTAAGCCTTATGTTCCTTAAAACTTACAAGGAACTGTTTTTTTTATTCAAAGCCCAGCAGGTCCATGGACCATAATACAAATTATGTGTTTACCATTCAAGACTTGTATATCAGGGATATAATTTTCTTGAGTTGTCTTTAATTTTTTTAAAGCTTACCTGATTGTTTTCTGAATATTATATCCATGAATCTGTTACACCTTGCTATAAAATGTGCAAAAAGAAAATAAGTGTGTCAATACTTTTTATCATTCCTATATATTTATGCATGCAAGGCAATTTAACAAAAATTTTAATGTGTTTTTTCTTCAACATTGATCATTTAATATCCTCATTTATATATCATTTGTGTTTGATGTCACATATCTGCAAAACTTCAACAAAGGAAAGAGTCTGACGGATCTGGATGCTAAGATAACTGGTTAAAAGCTATTCAGCAAAAGGAGAGGAGAGAAAAAAAGATTTTATTTTGTGATAAACTGAAACATGCTTTCATGCAGTATTGAATGTTTTGTTGAGTTGATACCAGTTGAAATTTAAACTGCACGATGTTAACAGTGTACATGTAGACTACACCCTTTGTAATTTAAAAGTTGCACTTGAATAATAAACATGACTCGTTAAAAGTGTAATTTTGTTTATTTAGGGAACAGGTGTAATTTGTAACTTCAAGACTGTTGAACCTTAGGTTATAAGCCATGATGCACTATTTTGTTGACTCGTTTAGTTTTGTTTTCTAAAAAAAAGAATAACAGCAAATGCTGTTTAAGTTCTTATGGTCATTTTCTATGGTCAACTGAACTGCAGTTTAATCGGTTTATAGATCAAATTTTACTCTTTATAAGAAGGAAAGTTTTAGAAATAGATAAGAAAGTCAAATTGTAACCTGAAGTTTAGAGATTCTTGTTTTGGGCAGTACTGTATGTATGTCACAACCATGTCAGTGGTAATATCCAGAGAATAGTGTGGACTTCATCACATCTGGTTAAAGCCCTACCCTGTGATAAAATCCCAACTATTTGTCACTCTAACTGAAGATTGAACAATATAGCTACAGCTATTTTGGCTACAAACCTACAGGTACTGACAGAGGGGAAGAACCTTAGTTCATTCTCCCAGCATGTCCCAGCTTTGCCCCATGTGAAAAATGTAATCAGATGAACAGACAAAATGCACATGTATACTGGGTATATGGTATATAATTAGTTCTTTCATTCATGAAGTTAATCATTCTTTTGTTTTCTGTATCTACAGGTCAGTGTTTCAAGTGTTCAGAAAAAGTGACAGGTGCCAATGATGCGTGTCAGGCTATGGGGCATATATATCACACAAAATGTTTTACTTGTTGTTCATGTGGTAAGTATAACCTTCACCTTTATATATATCTACTCAGGAAATTGATTTTGATTTGGAATGTGACGATAAAGGATGTTGTTCAGTTTTTGAGTTCTGATGCACTTTATAACATCTTCACATGATCACGAGGACATGAAACAAAACTGAAAGAGAATTGGATTAGGGTTATGAACATCAAAGTTCCTATTCAGATATTATAATCTGTTTTCATTTATGACATGCACAAAATTGTAAGAAGAAATGAAACTGGAAGTTAATATTATTGATGTTCTATTTATATATAAATATTACTTCCCTTTAATTTTGTAACATTGCTTTGATGACAGGATAGCTCATTTGTTGTCATCAAGTTAAAATTATGTATAATTTAAGCTTTGTTAAGACAACATTAACATATTATTATTGAGGTCAAAGTTCAGATAGCTTGATCATATGACTTGTTTAAATGTTAATGTTAATTAAATGTTGGTCTCTCATGTCAGGGACTGGAGGCTTAAGCCTTGTAACAGTCACAAGCTTTCTCGATCGACATATGACATTTGTTAGTTGATAGAAGCTGAACCAGTGTTATGGGTAGCTGATAGCATTATCCGAAAATGTAAAATGAACATTGTTTAATTTTGTAAGCCCTTCCACTATTGAAGGCACCTTAGGTCTCCTTCCACTAGTAAAGTTTGAAAGTCACTTTATGACCTATACTGTGTTGGTGCAAAATAGGACTCAACCCCATCCTCCCCCTCTACCACCATGGCCACATATTGGCCACAATGACAGTCTGACTAGGCTCTATAATATTGGTAGTTCAAGTTTAATATTTTGACAATCAGTACTCCCTGAAACTTCTAATGAATTATTCCAAATTCAAGGCAGGGCAAGACCATTGCACACATTTCAGCAGTCAGAGTTAATAAAGACTTTTATAACCTTATTTAACTTGAGGAGAATTTTCTTGCTATTTACATGAATATATGATTGTAATGTCTTGTTGAGATGTGTACAAAGAGCAGGAATAATCACTTCATACAAGGTCAAAGATAAATTTGATAAGTGAAACATTGCCTTTTTAAGTACTTTAAGCATTGTGAAGGGTTATTTGTAGATGCTAGATAAATATTTAAACTTCTTACAATGGTTTTGTATAATTTTCCTCAGATAGAAAACATCCATCTGTGTTACAGTTGCTTATAATCTGTTAGAAAATGTGTGTTTTCTTAATTACAACACCTAATGCCATTGAACAGTTTAAACCGTTACCTATTTTACCAATCTGCTTACTTTGAAGGGTCAAGTTGATTTCTGTTTCAATAAAAATATTTTTTCTCTTTTCAACTTGCGTGGTTGAAGTGGTCTCTTTAGAACATTCTGAAAGGCTTTGATTCCCCTGACCTCATTTTAAGTAGCGTTTTTCTAGCGTCCGGTGCCTTTGATGGGATTTGTGAAATCTGTCTTAAATGGTTCTATTTAAATGGATAGTTTTTCGTTTCTTAATTGAAATGTAACGGCTATATTTGAATAGCATGTACTTAAAAAATAGTATAGTATGAATTAGAAATGTATGTTTAAAAATGAAGGATAAAAACAAACAAAAATGGTTTTCTGCGTAAAAGTAATTGAAAATTTTCATAAAATACTGCGAATATTTTGATCATTATTTTCCATGATACATTTTGTTAGTTATTATAATTACCAAATTCAACATATATTTCTATTAATGCATGGAATTTCATTAAGCACATAAAATGGTGTCAGATGCCATTCTGCACAGTAATTTAAAATAAAATAGTGGCTAATATGAAATTTTTATCATTAATTATAAGTAATAAAATCTGTTATAATAATGGTAAGAGGAATAATTCTGCTATATTTAATAACAGAAGAAAAGAATTTTGGCAGTCTAGGTTGACAGGTAGCGATTATCTGTCTGTACCGATTAACACGAAACCGTTTCGCAATTCAGTTTTGTCTTGGTATGTTACGGATTAACAACTCGGCTAAATTATTATATACATTTTTATACATTATAGGCTATTGTATAACAGAAGTCTTTAATTCCGCGCATTCCTGCCCGTTAAATGGTTAGAGATCAATTTCGTAATGCTTGATTTTGTATAAGATATTTTTTTGAAAACGGAAACCTTGTTTAACGCATTAAAATTTTTAGATTTTTCAATAATGAAAAGATATTTATATTACTTTTCAAACAATTTTTTAATTTTAGATCTTAAATTACTTCTGTTAATACATTTAATTAAAATATTTGATTTAAGAAATAAAAAGAAAAGTTCTATATTTGAAATTTAATTTTCGTCGTATTAAAAAGGTTGTACCTAGTTACCTTGGCTAATGACAAATATACATAATGATTTAATGTAACAATTATGTTGATTATTTTACCTGTTCACTTTACATTCAAAAGTTGTTTGTCATCTGGTTATAATGTTTTCTCCACAAATATTGACTCAATATTTCCAGATTATTCATTACCTAAAAGTTGGAGCATAATATTTGACTTTTTGTAATTGCGAAGGTCCAAAATACTGAAATTTAATGTTCCTAAAGTAGTAGTTAAAGTCTGTTAGCATACACTTGATAGAAAGAAGTTGAGGATGAATTTCATCAGTATTAGGAATAGCTCTCTGATCTAAATTATTACTTTTTGATTGGGAAAAAAATGGAGTCACCTTTTGGGGCAAGGAAGGCAAAGGGGTGGGGGGGATGGGTGCTTGAAAAAATTTGTGTTCCTGTTGTTCAATGACTGTTTTCAAGTTTTAGTTAATTTGACAATAGGCAGTGCCCATCAATTTAAGACTGTTCAATTTCTTAAAATATAGATAATCATTGATAAGACTTGTGTCAAATGAACAATTATATAGAGAAAATTAAAAGTAAACAGTACAAATAAGTACAAATAATGGCAAACAAAAACCCCCCTCAGCCCTTTTTCTATTGGTGGCAGAACATATTGTTCAAATTAGAATTACTTTAACATGAAATAAGTGTGTAATTTGAAATCTTTTTGTTAGTGTAATAGTTTTTGTTTAACAAAACTTAATATAAGCTTTTTTTGCCGTCTGCTGTAATCTTATTGTCTCTGTTCAATACATTTTCATGATCTTATCATATTTTTTGAAATACAAAATTTGATTGATATGAAGTCATTTTCCATTTTTGACAAACACATTTTCATTTTTTCGTAATTTCTTATCTTTAAATAAAGTGTTTTGTCTGTGAAAGAAGTTTATTGTAATCATAGGAAGAAAATTATTTAATTATTAGTAAATAAATGTTTACAAAAGAATGAAATATACAATACAAATTTCATGATGTGGTAATAGGTATAAATAGCCTTGTTATTGAAACTACAAAGAATTCCATTTGTTTTGTATAAAAAAAAGAACAATTTTGAATTAAGGAAGATTTTATTTTTATAAACCATGGAAAATGAAGCGTAGAACATCTTGGTGTTAAAAGTGTTAAACGGACCAAGAAAACTAAATATCCCAAACCAAGTGCAAAAAAATTTAATTTAGTTTAAAACATGACTTATACCGTAATTTTATAATTTAAATAATTTGAAAAGTAAGTTTATACTCTCCATACTGCCACATTTAAATAATGGACCTGTCCCACAATGAATTTGGAACTGTCCATTGTTGGTTTTAGGAATCCAGTTATATATCTGGAGGGAGAGATAGCCTAGTGGTTGTCAGTCTCTTGACCCAGGCATCTTGGGTTTGAGCCCTACTGACATCACAACCATATACTGGTTAGTTCCAGAAAATGGACTCCTGGGTGGTCCAAATAAACTCTATGAACTTCCATGACAATCCAGCTAATTTGAATATATTTAAACAATTAAAATTAATAACCAAAATGGTTAGATTGAGTAGTCAACAGTAAAGTATCTGGTAAGACTTCAGGAGAAAGTAGGTGTCACTGCTGGAAGTAAAACCAGGTTTAACCAGAAATATAAAATCCTGATTAATGTATATATATGGTTGTCTAAATGTTCACACTCACAATAAAATACTACTGTTTATAAGAAGAAAATATCAACCCAAATACGGCCATTAACATTTTAACATAAGAGTCCTAGATCTAGTCTCTGTATACAAATTACTTTGTTTATTTATTAATAACCGTTTTGTTATATATAATTATATGAAGTACTTAATATAGTATAATTTGTTGTTTTCAGGTCGCACGTTAAGGGGGAAGGCATTTTACAATGTTCATGGGAAGGTTTACTGTGAAGAAGACTATTTAGTAAGTATTTTATATATAAATACAACTAACAGTCATTCATTACCGATTTACAGATGGGTTTTTTTTTAAATTGATCAAAAAGAAGTGTACAATTCATCAACTGAGCGCAATAACACACTAACTCCTATAAAATTTTAGAGGAAGTTAACTGGTTACTGCACTAAGGTGATGAATTTACTAATTGGCAAGTTGATGAGCCATTGTTATATTTCCTTATGAAAGTGTCATTACCCTGGACAAGCTGCTCATGTCCCATTTATGCCAAGACTTTCTGAAAAATATTTTATTAACTATCACTAGGCATAATTTTATTTAAATAAAAAATTCCAAACAAGAACTGACTGAATAATGAACAGTGTAGACCATAAACTTGGTGTAGACTGTCATGGGAATATTTAGTTGACGCCATCAAGCAAAATAAAAAAAGGAGTGATGACATTTGGGTAAATTTTTGTATTACATGTGAGCAACATGTTTATCAAAGGTGTTAGTTTTACTTTAGTTCAATATGTGCCTTAATAATGGAAGGAAGTATTTGCCTAGAAAGGGTCCCTTCCTGCTCATGGGCCTTGATTTATTCATAAAGAAGCTTTGAAGTTGGAAGGTTGGATATTTCAAAAGATAGCCTTTAATAATTATAGATTTTTCTGGAGTACATGGCAGCTCCTGATAAACTGTAATACACAGGTTTGCCACAGATTTTTTTTCAATGCTTCATAATGTAATCACTGGTTTTAAACCAATACATGTTTATAATATAAACTTTTAATATGATCTGAAGAAAATTCTCATCTCCTTGAAATGAAAAGTGTAACATAAAGAAAACAACATTTTACACCATATTTGCAGGCAACCAAATTTAAGAAATGGTCAAATTTTTGTCAACTTTACTGGTGGCTATGCTTTTACATGCCTAGAGTGTTTTGTTATAAACTTTTATATGATTTAAATAAAAATTGTTTGTTTTGTTCTCTAAAATTCACGGGGATGGTAATAGTGAAAAATGTCCTCGTTACAAAACAGGTGTAAAGTGTGTTCAACATTTCTATATACTTAATAGAATAAATACTGTCTTAAGTGCATTCTTATCAAGTAGTGGAAATAAATTTCATACAAATAAAAAAAAATACCTTTATTACAGTGTTAAAAGGGGAAATGTCTTATACGACAGGAAACATTTATAGAAATAAATTAATCCGACATGATAATATAATAAAATATGGAGGGACATTTTAGTGTTGTGAGGGTTCGGAACTGTCAGCCTCTTATAAATAACTGATAAAGTAAATGAACTATGTCCTGACCCTATTTTGTCAGCATAATTAACTATATTAGATTATTAGTTCCACTACAATATGCATTATTTTAGGGTTAAGGAAAGTTTGAATCACTGTTTGTAAAGTCTGGAGCAACTTTGCGGGCAAGTTTTGGCATGTCAATTTAGAAAAGTTGAATGGTTGAACAGTATTGAGAGATGTGCAACAATATTCTGTTTCCACCATTAGAACAATTTTGACCAGACTTCAGGGGAAATTCCATCAGTTGCCTTCTTTCTCTCTGTGGTCCTCTCCTATAAACCCTGGGTTGACTGTATTTAGAAATTTACTAAATTTTGCAGATGAATTCTTTTAGAAATTTGTAGGAATATGTTGATTTTCGGAATATTTTAACCCAATAACCATTTTAAATATAAAAAATGGACTTGTCCAACATCCAGTCTGGACTAAACCATTTATAGTTTTTGGGGATAATTTTAAAACATGAACTTCCTGAATAGCGAATAGAGAAGACCATGATCAGAAGACACAGATGTGCCGCTTCAGATCTTGAAAACATGTTGCTATTAGTAGAATAAGAGTTAATATTTATATGTTAGAATCCCAAGAATATGATTTTTATTTTGAGTCTCAAATGAGATGAGATTAAATCAGTTCTCAAGATAAATTAAGGAAGTGGTTTATAGGAATGTTAAAACAATGCTGTGACATGGTAGGGGTCTTGACATGTGTATTGTTTTACTATTGGACGGGAGGGGAAAGATACAGAGTTCAATCTCACATCTTCTAAGTTTATTGTTTATTTTATCACTTTATTATCACTGTATTATAGGAGATGAACTTAATGATAAAAGTTTATACTTATTTCCTTCCTTAATACAGGACATGGTTTTCGTGTTGTTTTTTTTAGGCTAGAAATATGTAATTGTTTGTACTTTTGTTAAGTAATCTAGGATAAACCACAAAACGTGACACATTGATCCTAGGGAATATAAATAGTTAAAATATATTCAGTGCTAGAATAAGCTAACTGAGATAAGATTTCATATTAAGATGAACCGTTTTAAAAAAAATGTCGGGTTGTTTCGTTGATATCTTAAATCTTTCAACATGACTCAATATCGTAAAAATGTATGAAGTGACGTAATGATATAGTGTTTCCATGTTTCTAGGGACCTTCTAACATTGAAATAGCTACAGTTGTAAATTAGTTTGTTAAATTGTATAATAAAATATTTCACTTTGTCAATGATTTATTGAAAATCTTTATTTTTATTCTGAAATGATTGAATAATCGCTTACAATTTATGTCCGCCTGGGTTATAGATTGAAGTACAATTTGCCAGCTTTTATTGTTATTTTATAGATCAATTTTCAGTTAATGCACCTTTCATACTCTGGTATGAATAAGCAAAAAAATCAAGGTAAAAATGATATTGCAGGAAGATTAATTTATCTGGATTAAAAAATGTAATCGTTTTTTTTTACATTAGTCTAAAGGAAAAGTGTTATTTAAATGTTTGAAATATAAATCTTTATGGTTTCTTAATCTAAAGATAGGTTTTAAAGATATGTAAGTAGGTAAGAAGGGTTGTTCAAGAGGCAACGCAACTTCATCAGGGTCGGAGTCACACATGACACAACAACTTCTTTCTGTGGCCATTTAAGGTTCACAAAAGGCATATAAGAGATACTGTAGTGTATAAAAAGACATTAGTTTTGAGTGAAGATGTTTTTCAGCATAAAAAAAATTTAAATAAATAAATAAAAATTATAAAGAAATAAGGAACTATGCCTCTGCTTATTTCTATCTCAAGAATAGTGTGCTTAAAATGGCTGCTTTACGACATCAAATTCTTGTCTCAAAATTTAATCAATGTCACTTTGTTGAAATTGCATAAAACTTAAAAAATACCTTGTATTAAACATGAATTTAGACATTTCCAAAGGATTGTATACTGATACCACAAAAACACATTTAAAGGTAGCAGTTTGCTTAATGTTAAAGCATCTGCCTCTCAATCCAGGAATCCTGGGTTCAAAGCCCTACTGGGGTCATGTAGCAGGCTTTAGAGTGGTTAAAAAATTAACCTGAAAGTTTTCTTCACTAATGTGATTGTATGAGTCATGTTTAAACTTCAGGCATAAATTTCAAAATTAATATTCCAACACTTTCGGTGATTTCCCTTATATAAACAAAAAAGGCCTTGTGTTTATATTACGGGCATATGAACCCCATACTGTGTATTTTAAACACGGGTCACTCAAATCATTTTCCCCTAAGTACTTTTATTATTTAATATTTTTTTTCTTTGTTTTTTTTAGTTTCGGTTTTTCCAAAAAACAGCGAGAATGTGTTTTGGGGGCACCTTATAAGGACCCATGGTAGAAAATATCTAAAAAACAAACAAAAAAAATCATTGTTTTTTTTTAGCCAAATTGCAAAAAAATAAAGGAAGAAAACATTATTATATTTCACAAATGAATGTGACGTCATTTAGATTACAGATGAAGCAGAAAGCGACAGTAATGATGGGAAAATAGGATGTGTGCACATACTAGAATTGCATGTTGATATTATAATTCACTGAAAATTGCGTAATAGAATAAGTGCATAACTAGCTTGTCATGAAAGATAAACAGCAAAATTTAACTGATGACGTTTGTTTAATGTTGATTTATACAGTCGCAAATTGATGCCCTATTATTCTGGATACTGGATACTTTTCAATTATTTCATCATTTATACGGATAGTGACCCAAAATTACATTTCGGTTATGTTTTACGAAGTTACGATATCTCACAAGCATTTAAGGTTTTCAATTGCCATTCTGTTCATTGAATTCTTCTCTTGATGTCCTATAATGATTTCAGAGTGCAAATACCTTCAATATTTTTATTTATGATTCATCAGCTAATAAATATAAATTGATCAATAGTTTTTTAAGGCGCAATAAACCATTTTAACAATATAACAATCCTCAAGTGTAATGTTAGACATTTTATTCTATCTAGTACAAAAATGATAATTAGGGATTATAAATGTTTGAAATATACATTTTACTTTACACTGTACAGATCCTGCAGGCGATGGGAAAGTCATATCATCCTGGATGTTTCCGCTGTTGTATGTGTAACGAATGTCTCGATGGTGTACCGTTCACTGTGGACATGGAAAACAAAGTTTACTGTGTCGCAGACTTTCACAGGTATTGTTATATTATATATACATGGTTTATCATTGATACAGTTTCATGGAGACTGTTATTGCACCACAACTTCAAGAAAAAAGGTGAAGCTTTTGACATTACCCCCTCCATCTGTTTCCAAGGGCAGGTAACTCTGGCAACTGCTCAGCACTGAAGAAAAAAGGAGCACATTGCTCCATGGAATTTAGATTTTTGTTTTCACAGTAATTGATTACAGTGGTAGAGACCTAAATTGGTCAGCAAAAAAGTTATCACCAGTATCTAGAACAAAGTTCAATGCCAAGTTTTGTTTGGTTTAAAACTAAAAAAAAAAAACACAAGCAACAACAAAACCAATGAAATATGTATGTGTTTTTTTGACAGAGATTAACTTAAAAAAATGATAATGAGAAAAAGATTTGAATATTTATTTTTTATAAGTTATCAAATATGATGAGAAAAAAAATGAAATTCACTTGTGACAAGCACATCAGATTTAGAATTATTTGTCCATTTTTATCACTGATAAAATATAAGTAATAATTCATTATTAGCAATTCTGACAAATTTAAGATAAAAAAGTTTCAAGAACTTGTCTAAGTCAGCTTAAGAAATTTAATTATACAGTCAAACCTGTATTAAAGGCCACCTCCAAATAAAGGCCATCCTGTAAATAAATGCCACTCTAAAACAAACTGTCATTGATTATATAGAACATTATTAACTCCATATGACCGCTTGTCTATAAAGGTCATGTTTGGTCACTGTTCACTCCTTTGGATGGCCTTTTTCCACAGGTTTGACTGTACCAGATATAAGTTTCATAGGATAAGCAATATGTTGCTTTGCTGCATGTTTATCATAGACGATTTAAAAATGACAATTGCTATTAATACAAAAACAGCTTTGTGTGGCTATTTTTGATTGTGCCTTCAACAATCTAAGGGTGTGTACAAATTGTGTTGTTTGTTTTTTTAGTGGGAGTGTCATTCAGAAAATGGCATTTTATATCATAGACAAAGTCTTGAAAGGTTTTACAGTTTTATAGCAACTGCATTTGAATCAGATTAGTTTTTTGTACATCAATAAATTATAACATTTTTGTAAATGACTGGTGAAGTTCCCTGGCAACCAAATGCTACTTCTTGCATAATGATGCAAAAATAAGACTACTACTTGTACAGGTAAATGGATAAAAAATTGGAAGGGCACAATATGTGTGTGAATTAACGTTTTTATTCAGGCCACATTACAAGGTAGTATTTACATTTTTGAGATAAATTGCTGTAAGATGACTTTCACCTTTGCATTTTCAAGACATATTTTCACATATGGATTAGTATGGTCTCGACCTTTGTGATATTTGGTTTGCAGTTTGTCCTTGACCTTAAGTGTATGGTTGTTTACATTTGGATTTTGTTGACTACATTATTTAACTTTAATTAACAGCCAGATTATTGTACCACCAGCATACTTTTCAATACCTATCTGAGGGCATGTTTTATAAATTTCTTTGTCTTGACTGTGAATACAAGTCACAGAGCATGTAAGGGTAAACAATTCTAGAAATTTAGAAATTAGATAAAAAAAAGAAAAAAAGATTGATACCTATTTTCAAGAGGTTAAAATTTCCTCACTTTGAGGTTCTATCCATGCTATCTGACCAATCTATAAACTATTGTCAGCTTAATTATAGTGTTTTAATACTAACACCCCGAAAACTAGCAATGGACTGCTCAGATTTCAAGGCAGGGCTAGTCTATTTTACATATTCGATGTAAATTGAAAATCGGTTTGAAATTGCAAATATAAAGTTCTGATTTGTGATATTCTGATAAGTATATTTATCTTATAAATTGATTGTATATTAGAGGTGCTATAAAGTACAGTAATTTTCTAAGTTGATTGACAAGTTTATCTGTGGGCATATCGATAACTAGATTAAGATGTGATTATATTGTGTCACTGTTCAGCTATAGAAGTAATTACAGTCAATTAAATTGTGAAAATTTGCAATTTCGTATAACCCTGTTTGAAGTTTTTATTATAGATGTATGATTAATGTGGTTAAGAATTTGTTCATGTAAGTATTATACAAGAATGCTTCAGAAATATTGTAAAGAAACTTGGACAGCTTTTTATATATCAATATTTCCACAAAGGGGTTCACCATTTTTTCTCTCAAATCATGTCAATAATTGATGAAATTATATTGTACAGTAATTTCCAAGTGCAATGTTCTAGTAAGGTATTTTACGATTTTGTTTTGTTTCTTGCAGGGTATTTGCACCAAAATGTGCGGCATGTGGCCAAGCCATTACACCAGTTGAGGTATGTACATGTAGTATAAATTAAGAGAATACAGATTTACTTAAACTGAAAAACTTAATGATTTTGTAACTGTCTATTCCTAGTTAAAACCCTTTCTCTATAGCTAGAGATATCCATATGGAAATTTGAGAACTTGGCTATAAACTCAATAATACAATTTAATGTCAATACTTGAGATTTGACATCTGCGTAAAAGCTAAAGAATACATCTTCAGAGAAAATAAGTCCTAAATTTCTCAATTAATTGAAAAGGTATAAAAATTTTCAAATTTTTTACAATTGAGGCTGACTTAAAGTCCCCTTCCTGATATTCACATTTCATCTGAAGGGGGTTCTGGAAAAAACCCCAAAATTTTCCAAAAGGGTTGCTGGACATTTTCCTCATGCAAGCTAATATTTAAATCCCTTACCCGAATCAGACCCACTTAAGTGTGGGGCAAGTTATAGTTAAACAAGGAGTTATGTTTTTGTGATACTGAATAAATTTTTATGTTTGTCTAAAGTGTCACCTACATTATAGACACAGATAAAGTTGGAATTATACATGATCTAATATTGATCTGTATTATATCTATTAATGTATCAAGTGGATAACCTCCAACTGCTAAGCGTATTTTCATAGAGACAAATATGTCAAAGATTATCTAACTGTATTATACAAAATTGAAGTAAATATTTGTTCACCAAATACATTTTGTTAATAAAACCGTACAATTTACTATGTCCATAATGACATTGCATAACATGTTTAGAAACTCCAGGTTTGCTAAGCTTATAGCTTTGTTCAGGATCAGTGTTATGAAGAAATTCATAATTTGAATTGTTCGAAACTGTATTGTTTATGATTGTTTATGAACTTTATTCTTCCTTGTTTATATACCGGTAGTGGTAGACATATTTGTATGAAAAATAGTTATTATTTATAAGATGACGTAAGAAACAAAGAATTTCGAAGGAAGTGTAAATTGTTAGTGTTGGCTTTGTGTGTAAGAAGTTTTATCTAGGAATTGTGGACATAACAGTATGAGTCTCATTGCAGTTATGTAACATTCATGGTTATATACCACTGGTATAATTCAGTCAAAGCAAATTTGGTCGCTACTCCCTTAGTTATCTAAGATAAATGTTTTCATGTGTTTGAGCTAGATAAAATAAATTTAAACAGAAGTGTTTTTATTCCATTGCATATAAAGTCTTGTTTCTAATTATATTATTTTAGGGGACAGAAGAGACAGTCCGTGTAGTTTCTATGGAGAAAAATTTCCATGTGGATTGCTACCACTGTGAGGTAATTGTGTAACCTTGACCTTTATTTATAATATCTTTATAAAGTTCACTCTGTAATTCTATATGATATAACAGTAGATGACTATATACAGTACCAACACAATTTATAATGTTCTTTCTGCCTGCCAGATGAACCATACAAGAGATGGGGTTTTTTTGAGTCTCAGGTGTGGCTAAGCATTACCTTGCTCAGTTGAAGGTTTAAAATTTATTTAAATATCAATACCATATGAAACTCTGGTCTGACTTCACTCATGTGCAGACTTGCCTTGCTCTGTCCTTTTGGCATCCTCCCTAATAAAGCCTTCAAAGTGTTAAGGGAATTCAATATCGAAATACAAAAATCAAGCTACCAACAGTATCAGTGCAGGATGCCCTGGCTCTATACTGAAGGGTAAACTAATAGGTTTTGGTTCCAGCAGGTTATGTTGAGGGTTATGTCTATATTACAAGAAGCTTGACATGATATCTTCATTTGCAGTGCATTTTTGCCTATCTTTCTTGATTCATTTATCATAAGAAAGCAATGTATTGTCAGTATACTTCAGATCTTGTCATAGATCAAATTAAGGCTTTACAAGGTTAAAGCCCTTATGAATGATTATAGTTTATATTTTTTTAGAAATCTCCTTAATCTGCAAAAAAGTTCTGTCAATAAATTTTTTAATTTAAATATGAGAGGAAATTATACGTTCTTTATATATGTTAAAATGGGAGGGATTTCTATAAGAAATATTTTGCTCATTTTGAAATAGAGGTGGCATCTGTCTTCATACTATCTGTGTAGAAATAAGTATAAATCTAAAAGGTATTAGAATTTTTTAAATATATTTTTTAAAAACAGCTTAATTGGAATACTTTTGCATTAAACTCTTGGCTTTTAAAATATTCTCAATCATTCAACAGTATGTCGTTCAAATTGGTGCTTCTACCTTTTAAGCTTTATATTATGATTTTGTTTATCTGATAAGAAGCTTATCTTCCTCGACTTTTTTACGCTTGAATTGCTTCACATCACAATTTTTTTTCAAGATTCACTGTTTTTGTTTGGTTGTTAAGTTGTAGACTGTAGTCCAGAACAAATTGTTTGAATTTCAGAATCCTATACAAAGATGAAATTAAGTAAGAAAATCAATAATCTATTTTTGGGTTGGCATGTACCAAATTACAAGCTGTGCATTTTGATTGGTTGACATAGTATTTAGGTCTTAATCATCTCTACATTTCTGATTGGTCAATATTCAAAACTGGTTTTTGAACAAATAAGAATTTAGTAAAATAAATAGAGTGCAAGTACCTGTTAAATCTACTGCAAGTGAATAAAAGGCAGAGAATTTAGAATGTTTTTTTTGCTGACTTTGATTGAATCAAACTTGTAGTTTGTATTTTATTTTGTTTTTATTTGTTTTTGATTTTCTGTGGCAGATAAAACCAGTTTTGAAAGCTTTCTCTCTAGGTGCTGCAAACTTCTAAACATATTAAAACTCTAAAACCTTTCTGAAGCCTTCTTTTTCCACCCTTTGATATGGCGTGAAATTTAACAAACTGTTTAGTTCAGTATTTATTAATATACTTTGTTTTATGTGTAAGTTATGTTTTATACCAAATATTTATACGACTACACAAACTGTGACAAAGTGTAAATGTGTTGTCAAATATGTAAAATACACCGGGAAACCCTCAGTGGCTGTATTGTATACAACCAATTTGTTTAGCTGGAACTATTCAGTCAGTTTAAGTCACTAGTCTGCTTAGTTTGTGAACCAGTCAATTTAACTGGAATAATCCAGTCAGTTTAGTTAATTTGAGAACCAGTCTGCTTGGTTTGTGAACCAGTCAATTTTCCTGGAATAATCCAGTCAATTTAGTTAATTTGAGGACCAGTCTGTTTAAGTTGTATATCAGGCTGGAAGAAAATACTGTAAAAAACAACAACAAAAATAAAACAAATAACCTTTGCATTGAATTGGCTTTATGTGCTTTGTTAGTCTAGCCCCATTTTCTTCTATGTATGCACTTTTAGAAAAAAAAGAAACAAGTATTCTGGGACAGGGTTTTATATTATCTGCCATTACCCTCAAAGACTTTATTTTAATGAGATTTTTGGTTTAGAAAATGTTTGTTATTATTGAAATAGTGTTGCATAGAAAAGATATTCTGCTAACATAATAGTAATGTTTTAGAGCATCAGTTGTAGTTGAAATTAGACAATATTTAAATTGAAATGCTGACAAGAAAATTGAGCCGCCTCATGACAAAACCATCATAATGGGATTGCAACCAGCATAGATCCAGACCAGCCTGTGCATCTGTGCATTCTGATCAGGATCCATGCTGTTCGCTTACCAACCCTATTACAAGTACAGAAACTGATAGTGAACAGCATGGATCCTGATCAGACTGCGCGGATACCCAGGCTGATCTGGATCCATGCTGGTCGCAAACCCATTATGTTGGTTTTGTTGTTACGCGGCTCAATTTATTTTATCAATGATCTATTTTCGTTTGTCACTTTGATATTCCAAAATGCTACCAAGGAACATATTTATTGAAGATCGTTTATAAATTCTTTCCTGTTTCCATCAGATATTTTCACAGAAAAAGTGAAAGCACATGTTTGAATTGGATATGGTTAAGGGTAACAACTAAGTTGTGATCAGTGTATTTGCAGTTTTGTGCACTATTTAGTTGTTTGTTTTTCTTATACTTCAGTGAGAAGAATAACCAAGTTTTAGCTAGCTTTTTTATTTCAGCAAGATATTAACCAAATATTAGTTAGCATTTTTATTTTCAGCAACAATTTTAATCAAGTCATTGTGAGCTGGCTTGTAAATTTTAGCATTTGTAATTTTAATTTTATAAATGCGATGTGTAGTTGATGTACTTATACCTAGTGTGATTTTTTTCTGTACAGGTCATTTTTATAGGTTTTTGATTTGTCTTCCCAGAAATAAACTCTTGTCTGCCTAGGTATTGACCTTCTTGTAGGGGTATTAATTTGCTTAGTTTCATGTTTTCTTATCTACAAAGGTACAGACCTTCTCAAGTTTACTAAGTTCAAGGCCTTGTCCATAGGTGATTTGATAGGTATAGGCCTTTTTGTAGTTCTGCAATCGATAAATTAAAGGCCATTTGCATAGGTATCATTTTATCTGCCTATGTTTAGATGTATGGGTTTACCCTATGTTACATTTAAAGCATTTTTATATTGTTTTCTTTTGTTAAATTATAGTTGTTCTTTTCTCTGTTTGGGCATAGGCCATCTTTATTGTTGTTTCCTGTGTCCAAAAATAGGCTGTCTTGAAAATTTCATATCCCCATTAATGAAGTCAAAATTCTGTCTTGCCTTAATTTAAAGGCTTTGACTAAGGTATAGACTTTTTCAGCCTACCTATAGGTTTTTTGTTTTTTTTCTATGTTAATATCAGTAGAATCCTGAATGACTGACAATCTTGGAGTCATCTGAAGACATTCATGTTACCTTGGTTTTACGGTGTCTCAAGATTTTTTATTCTGCTAGATAAATGTAAAGGCCATCACAGGTGGTTTTCTTATTCCGGTCTTTGTAGACATACAAGAATAAATTCTAAATCATTGGTTTAAGTGTTTGCATGCAGACTTGATGAACAAACGTCTTTCTGACCCAGATTAGTGGCATGCAATAACTAGTACTTATATATGACAAAATAAATGTTTTACAAATGGCAATATCAAAGAAAAATGGGTATTATTGTTTTAAGTTGTATTCATTTACTGTGCAAGTAAGTCAGTTGAAATTTGTGGTTCAGTATTTTATATATTTTACTTCTGATATATTTGAACATGGCAAAGAATTCTGTATATATGTTACAGAATGAAATATCAGGAACTTTATTGAAATGTTATATAATTAACAAATTTGATTGTGCTACTTAAATAGATTTAAACATTACATATATTCGCATTTTTCTTTGGATATACTTGCACAGTAAATGAAATTAAAAACAAAAAGTATTTGTTTTATTTGCTTAATAATACAAAGATTCTTTTGTCAGGAAAAATGATAGCATCAAATATATAGTAATTAACAATATAAATTATTTTGGGGATGAACATAATTTTAACACCATTAGATTTTGTCCTTTTTATATAAAAAAGTTTTGTTGAAAGGACATTTTCTTTAATCAGTTTCTTTAAATATTGAAAAATACAATGTCCTGAATACGGTAGAACTTAAAAGATAAAAGTATGAACAACATTTGAATGCTATTTTTGTGTTATGTTTGCAGGACTGCCATATACAGTTGACAGATGAGCCGGACAAGCGATGTTACCCATTAGACGATCACCTGTATTGTCACATGTGTCACATCAAACGTCTACATCTCGAATATCCAGATGAACAGTTCTACATCGACCCGTACACGTTCAATATTCTCAACAAAACAACGGGAAATCAACGAGATAGCATCGCTATCATGCCAGCTCCTGTCTCAGCTTATCCAAATTATACGATGCTGCAGACAATGGGCAGCCAATCACATGTCTCTGGAGGCGGCATGGCTCCTCCCCCGCCAACTTCGATGAGTGAGGCTCCTCCCCCTGTTCCGCCTCACAGGAAAATTACAGCCAATGGGTACGATTCTTCTAGTCTGTATGCAAATAAACCCATGCCACAAGTACCCCCAGGTGCACATAATGGAATGAAGAAAACTATAACTGACTTGTGATAATGTTGTTATGTGAATCAGTCATATTGATTTTGTTGCTTTCTATTCTTTTTTTTTTTAAACAAAAAGTCATGGACACTTGTTTTGTTTCTTATTTTCAAAGTGCTTGTTGTTTGCCTTATTTATTGTGACTCACTTGCAATACGATTCATGACATTTGTTGTTAATTTTGTATTCTGTGTTGGAAGGGTAAAAAATAATACTGTCATAGAATATTTAAACGTTTTAAGGTGCAATTTGAACCATTATAAATATATAAAACTTAAAATGATTTGAGAATATAAATACATATTATTTTTTGAAGTTGATCAGTTGAAATTGAGTATATTCCATGTGTATGCAAAAGTCATTAGATTTTTGGGTTTAGCTCTTCTGTTGTTTTTTTTTACCAAAAAATATGATGAGGGGATGGTGTAAAGAGTTAAACAGCTAGCAGTACTAAGTGTGGTCAGATGGCACTGACATTGCAGACTGGCCTAACTTTATACTGATGGCATAAACAGTTTATTCCGATAGTATAGGCACTTAATGCCAGCGACTTATACAATAATACTGGATGCCTAGACAGTATTTACTGGGGTTATATATTGGTGGTATAGAAATATTCTTTTCATCTCTACAAAAACCATATTGATATGTTGTTGATGTACTAGTCATTGGACATCTTCATTTATGCAAAACATCAAAAAAATTCAAATGTAACAAAGTGAAGAAAATCAAAATATTTTTGTTATTGTTTTTTTTTCGATGATTCATTCTTTTTATACCATTGCTGTATTTTACCTACAGTCAGATGAATTTAAAAGTCATAGTTTCAACAACAGTTTATCAAAAGATGCTGCAATATCCACAAGTGTGAAACGTGTAAATGCACATATATTTTACCACCAGCTCACACAAGACATCTGGCATATTAAGTGTTGTTTTTGTTGCGAGGGTTACATTGTGTTTGTATTTATACATTGATATGAAATTGAAAGATTATGTTATAAGGCATGCATGTTGTTAACATTTATTGGTATAAATTTTCTAAAGATTTTGTAAAAAGTCTTCCATTAATTTATAATTGACATTGTCATAATATCATAAAACCATGATTACCTTAGGAATCACCAAATTTATAAAATTTATTTTTCATTTATTTACTAGATTCTTTCAAGAACTGGCCACCATCCCAACCCTATACCTTATCAACTACCCCACCCCTTAACCACCTGCTGGAAATTCTTGATAATGTTCTATATCATTGAAGTACGAAATTTATAAAATATTTATATCCCAAATTCGCAAAACTCCAAAAGAAAAGAAACAATACATTAAGTTCATCTTCACATTATTTTTTACAGGGTATATACATTCTATTTATTATTACATCACAGGCATGCAAGAAACATTCATTTAATTTATGTATTTTAATTCTAATTCCATAGTATTGTAACTTATCTATGACTGCCATGGAGCAGCCCTTTTGTAAACTAGCATTGTTTAAAAATCCAGTGTTCAAAAAGTATTTTTAGGTTATATTTTTTCTTCTCTGCATATATTGTTGCTGTGCAATTGCTATTTTTGTTAGGATGTCACATTTTATAAAGCTCTTCTTAAAAGTTCTGTGTCCTTTTTAACTTGCCAATCATTGTCCCATGCTAAATAATGTAAAATCTCAATTATTTATTTTCAAGAACAGTCTTAAGGTTTCATAATAATTTTTGATGTAACTTTTTTTTTTTAAACAACAGTTTTTAATGATATATTTAAAATACTAGAACACTTTTTTCCACACCTTTGATCAGTTGTTATTTTTGTAGAAACCATAGAAAAAGTGATTAAACTGAGGTTAAATCTTTTCTATAGTAAAAACTGTTGTTTGTTTTGTTAAAACACGACAATTGTTCTAATTGAAATCATTGATGAAATTTAAAATTACTAAAAATATTTTTAAGTATTGTACATTTTTCTTTTTTTTTTTTGGACTTTCAGAATTTTATATCCCTCAAAAGTGCAAGCACCAGGTAATATGCTACAGTTTTTGGTATAAAACTTTATAAGTTAAAACCGCTGGAATTTACTTTTTCTTCACAACTTTACTTTTATACCTGTTTATTGGTATGGTGAAAGTTGATAAATGTCTCTAGCTTGAAGGATATACCTAATATTCTATTTATAATTGAAGTTTGAAAATATTGGAAGAAAATCATAAAAACCTTATCAATCACATTTTTCTGCCCTATATTCAAACAGTTTGAATGAAGGCGTATTTGAGAATCTACAGTTTTTTCTGTATATTTGTTGTTATGTTGTATGAATTCTTAGATCTGTGCATATTTAATTTAGAATTTTTATGTAAATAAAGAAATGCTCAAATGATGAAATAGTTTCTTCTTTTTCAGATCCTTTGAAATTTTTTCAAAGGGAAGTAACTCAAATTTTCATCAGATCTGAGTAATTTGTCTTTCTATTAATGAAGTTGGTTCTATTAAGTTATGATATACAAAGTTAGGCGTTGTCTACAAATTAAAGTTATTGATAGATTATATCCCACTTGTGCTAATGAGTCTTACCTTGTTTCCTCCCCATCATTTACTTCTACCGGTAATTAGTTTTTAACAACAAAGACTGTTAAATAATTGTTCTCCTTATCAAATAAGTACTGGTAATAAATAAGAATCTTTTGTATGGAAACCTTAGGTTTTCCTTTAAAGAATGAGGCTTTTTCAAACTGGTGAAGTACAACATCAATTCTATTGATTCAATAATAATTCTGTAAAACATACAACTACTTAAAAGTAAATAACTGTGTGCTATGTTAGACAAATGTGTTTATGGCAGGCACATTAGTGTATATCGAGCAAGTGTTAAAAACAAAATGTGTAAAGCAGAAAAGAGTATAAAACCAGTTAATGAAACGTGTGTAAGGCAGGTAAACAGGTTTCAAACAAGTGTAAGACAGGCAAGTACTTAACACAGACAAGTAAGGGAGGTAAACATGTGTAAGGCAAGAATTTAAGACCAGCAAATTTGTGTGTAAGACAGGCAAGTTTTTGAGACAGACAAAGATGTAAAGACTGGCAAATGTGTGTAAGGCAAACCTGTTTCAAACAACCAAACCAGTGTAAGCCAGACAAAAGTGCTAAAGACAAATAAGTATGTGTTTAAGGTAGGCAAAAGTGCTAAAGGTAGGCTAATGTACATAAGACAGGCAAACATACCGGACAGGCAAATTTTGACCTGTTATTACATTGTGGGGATGTATATTCTTTTATATATGGGTATAAATAAAAACAGGAAACTCACTTTATAGTAACAATTATGCAATCTGTGCGTATATTTTTGTAATATTGCTTATAAAACATATCAAACATAATAGAAAAGAACTAAAAAAGACTAAAACAATGATAGTATGAACCTATTTACACTATAAAACATGTACCTTACACTAGGAAAAGTGTATGTTTTCTACTTTTGTACATTTATACAAGTAAAGGAATTGGTGCAAAATGGTTGTAACTCGTATAAACACTGTTTCACTTCAAGCTCTCCTACAAGACAACCCAAAGGTTACAATAAATCAACATTTTACTTGCCCAGTGTTGAATAATTTGAAAATGTATGAACTGTTGTCATTTCCAGATTAGGTTTCTGCAGTGGCCATATTTTGTTGATCTTTCATAGTTTATCAGAATTTCTGAACAAATTGAAGCTTAAGGTATCATTCTACAAATACATGATGAATAATGATTCAGCAAATTTTCACTTTTTCATTTAATGCCGCAAAAAAGTTATAAAAACACTTCACAGCCTGCTAAAGAAAAGGCAGAACATGAGTGAGTGTCACTTGAATATTTACAGAATAGATAGTCTTCTAAAATTTGGTGATGATGATTTCTAAAAGTACCTTGTAATTCTTTTCAACTTATCACCACATACACATTTCCATCAAATAGGCTCCAAACTCGACTTTTGAAACATTTTACAAAAACAATAGAGCCATGATAGACCTAATTACGCCCACCTGGAAACTGTTGTTAGAGAAGTTTCATTTGACATTTTTTAAAGAAAGATTTCACTTTAAAAATGTGTTTGTAGCTCGTGTGACACAGATATGCAGTGGACAAAAACCCTCTGAATTACTTTGGTATAGCTTCATCCAAAGAACATGCAAGACAAATTTCATCAAATCTGGGCAAGAGATGTCATTTGAAATAATTGTGAACCCAGACAGCCACCAATCCTCGAAGCTCACATGGTGCATACAGTGCACAGGAGAGCTAAACAAAACATCTACTTACATGTTGGAAATGTTAAAACAATGAACTAATAATAATAAAATTGCAAATTGATCACTGAACTCTGTTCAATCAGAACATGAAAATAAAATCCTATATCACAAACATACAGCCTACTTAGCACAAAATGAACTTAATCAATTAAGAATATGTTAATTACATTTTTTCAGGTAATTGAAACAAACAAAATGTATATAAAAACAACTTTCGTGTGATTTAAGTCACACCAATGCAATTAAGGTTTATAATACCATATCCTAGCTTTGACTGTTGAGAAAGATCCCAAGGCAGTTGTTGCACTCAACTAACTCCTCCGTGTAGGAATCATACCCCACAGCCTGCTAGGAATGTGGTTTTAGAAGTCAACGCCCTTAACCGTTTGGCCAAAAACAAACAAAAATGAACAAATTATGAATATACAAAGTACATGTAGTAAACAATCTGTTTGAGTATTTGAATGATTAACTAAAAATCAGCTTACCTAAAGTGACAGTATGCTCATTTTTTCGATGTCAAGTTGAATAGAACTGACTATATATTTCAAAAGATTGACTATCAATGAAATTGGTAATTGACCAATATTTGATACTAAAAATTGTTTACATAAAATATTAAAATTTCTTGAAATATAAAAAGACTGCCCCACTCTTTTCATAAATTGAACATCACCCATACAATCCGCAAGATATTTTTAGATTTTTTCGTGAGTCACATTGGTTACTAGATAAATGTGTGGAGTAAAGTATTAAATTGAAAACAGCTATGACAAAATGTTAAATTAATTCGACTTTTACCTGAACACTTAGTATTTTCACATGGATATGCAAAATGTCACTTTAAAGCAAATATGAAGTTAAACAAATGTATTCCAGTCACAACATGACTATTTTTCCACACACATCATTTTCAAACAGTATTTTTCTATGTACAAACATTTTCAATAATAAAAAAGCAAATAAAAAGAAAAATAAATGATAATTGTTGGAAAAAAAACTGGATTTCCACCAATATATCATATGATAACACAACCAACAGAACAACAACAAACAAATGATAATAATGCTGTGATAATAAAGCAAATCACAATATCCCAAAACTAAGCACCAGTGTACCGGTTGACAAACCTTGTAAAAATCCCTCAAGAAATGTAGGCGTTGCCCAAACATAAACTAATCTAGTAACCCAAGTTTTCTGTCGGAAAAACCTGGTTATAAACTATGACATCAAGAGCCATGTCAACATGGCTATCCTCTGCCAAATGTGTTTGCTCATTGAAAGGATATGTATATGTAGTAGAGCAGAATAATTCAATTTTAAGAAGTCTTTACGGTAATGAAAACTGATGGCTGAAGTGATTACCGATTTTAAACCTATGTGAATACTGATGGCTGAATATAACAAAGGGCAATAACTGAAAAATAATGCAGGGTAGATTATCATTCTTGTGTGCTGCACTCCTCCTCAATGTGATCTATCCACCTATGAAGTTTCAAGTTGATACCTCAAATACTTTTTGAGATATGCTCCGGACAAAAATGTGGGACAGGAACGGACAGAGATTATTTTTATATCTCCTGCCGCCTTTTCGGCGGGGGATAAAAAGGCATTTTCTATGCAAAAAAAGACAAAATCAATCATTCAACATTGAAATTATTGCATCAAACAGATTAAAGTAAATGATTCAAACACTACACCTTACACTTCAAGGTATACAAGTCATTCTATTGACATCTTGAAAAGACATGAAACTTTCAAGTAATAATGTAAGATTGAAAAAAATAACTAGAACTCCGCGAGTCGGATGTGTCGCCTTGTGAACAATGTAGTTTAGGAGAAATGGCCAGGACAAAAATGAAATATGTAATAACAAAGGGCAATAAGTAAAAAAATAATAAGTGCAGAGCAGCAGTTTCTGTGCACTGCACTTCTTATCAATAAGATCTATCATTCTATGATGTTTCAAGTCCATAGCTTTCATACTTGAGGAGAAATGACCAGGACAAAAATAAAGTAAGAAAATCAACAAAGGGCAATAACTCAAAAAATAAGAAATGCAGAGTATCAGTTCTTATGCACTGCACTTTTTCTTGATGAGATCTATCATCCTATGAAGTTTGAAGTCCATAACTTTTATACTTTCCGAGAAATGGCCTGGACAAAAATTAAGTATGAAAATTAACAAAGGGCCATAACTCAAAAATTTAGAAATGCAGAGTACCGATTCTTGTGCACTGCACTTCTTCTTAATGAGATCTATCATCCTATGAAGTTTCAAGTCCATAGCTTTTATACTTAAGGAGAAATGGCCCGGACAAAATTAAAGTATGAAAATAAACAAAGGGCAATAACTCAAAAAATAAGAAATGCAGAGTACCTGTTCTTGTGCACTGCACTTCTTCTTAATGAGACCTATCATCCTATGAAGTTTCAAGTCCATGGCT